GTTAGGGAAGTAAAGGCTGGACTACAATACAGCTGATTTCAGGCAGTTCAAGAGCAGTGTTTTCTGTGGGAAATGGTAACTCCTTTGGGGTGGACTTTGGACTTTTTCACTTTGCAAACCTATTACATGCACAAAAAATATAACACAATAAAGGAAAGGGAAAAGCCCCAAAAGCATTATATGACCACTTGAAATATACACTGCTCAAAAAAAATAAAGGGAACACTTAAACAACACAATGTAACTCCAAGTCAATCACACTCCTGTGAAATCAAACTGTCCACTTAGGAAGCAACACTGATTGACAATCAATTTCACATGCTGTTGTGCAAATGGAATAGACAACAGGTGGAAATTATAGGCAATTAGTAAGACACCCCCAATAAAGGAGTGGTTCTGCAGTTGGTGACCACAGACCACTTCTCAGTTCCTATGCTTCCTGGCTGAGGTTTTGGTCACTTTTGAATGCTGGTGGTGCTCTCACTCTAGTGGTAGCATGAGACGGAGTCTACAACCCACACAAGTGGCTCAGGTAGTGCAGCTCATCCAGGATGGCACATCAATGCGAGCTGTGGCAAGAAGGTTTGCTGTGTCTGTCAGCGTAGTGTCCAGAGCATGGAGGCGCTACCAGGAGACAGGCCAGTACATCAGGATACATGGAGGAGGCCGTAAGGTAGGCAACAACCCAGCAGCAGGCCCGCTACCTCCGCCTTTGTGCAAGGAGGAGCAGGAGGAGCACTGCCAGAGCCCTGCAAAATGACCTCCAGCAGGCCACAAATGTGCATGTGTCTGCTCAAACGGTCAGAAACAGACTCTATGAGGGTGGTATGAGGGCCCGACGTCCACAGGTGGGGGTTGTGCTTACACCACAACACCGTGCAGCACGTTTGGCAATTGCCAGAGAACACCAAGATTGGCAAATTCGCCAATGGCGCCCTGTGCTCTTCACAGATGAAAGCAGGTTCACACTGAGCACATGTGACAGACGTGACAGAGTCTGGAGACGCCATGGAGAACGTTCTGCTGCCTGCAACATCCTCCAGCATGACGAGTTTGGCGGTGGGTCAGTAATGGTGTGGGGTGGCATTTCTTTGGGGGGCCGCACAGCCCTCCATGTGCTCGTCAGAGGTAGCCTGACTGCCATTAGGTACCGAGATGAGATCCTCAGACCCCTTGTGAGACCATATGCTGGTGCGGTTGGCCCTGGGTTCCTCCTAATGCAAGACAATGCTAGACCTCATGTGGCGGGAGTGAGTCAGCAGTTCCTGCAAGAGGAAGGCATTGATGCTATGGACTGGCCCAGACCTGAATCCAATTGAGCACATCTGGGACATCATGTCTCGCTCAATCCACCAACGCCACGTTGCACCACAGACTGTCCAGGAGTTGGCGGATGCTTTAGTCCAGGTCTGGGAGGAGATCCCTCAGGAGACCATCCGCCACCTCATCAGGAGCATGCCCAGGCGTTGTAGGGAGGTCATACAGGCACGTGGAGGCCACACACACTACTGAGCCTCATTTTGACTTGTTTTAAGGACATTACATCACAGTTGGATCAGCCTGTAGTGTGGTTTTCCGCTTGGATTTTGAGTGTGACTCCAAATCCAGACCTCCATGGGTTGATAAATTTGATCTCCATTGATAATTTTTGTGTGATTTTGTTGTCAGCACATTCAACTATGTAAAGAAAGGAGTATTTAATGAGATTATTTCATTCATTCAGATCTAGGATTTGTTATTTTAGTGTTCCCTTTATTTTTTTGAGCAGTGTATTTAATGAGAAACAAAATTATAAAGAAGAGATGCTCTGTAGGACTTTATGCAGGATGTAATTTCAACCAAATGAGAAAGAGAGTTTAGTTATGACCTGTATATCTCAGAGATGGGAGTAAGTCACACATGTCCAAGTCACAAGCAAGTCTCAAATCTTAACCTTCAAGTCTCAAGCAAGTCCCAAGTTATTGTGATGAAAGTCAAGCAAGTCACAAGTCAAGTCATATGAAATTCTTAGGAATTCAGTTTATGTTTAAGAGAAGTGGTAATTCAACTGTATGATCATTTTGGAAGATGTAGTGAGTGTTCTAACTATATTGAACTATACACAAAGGTGTTTCTATTATTTAGCCTTCTATTGGCTTCACTGATGATTGAAATGGGGTAGAAAAATAAAGTAATAGAAACATGTGTCAGTAACGGTAAGCTCTTACCATTCCAGAAAATTTGTTTTAAACGCCTATTCAAGGCACATCCAAAATTAATTGAATGCAGTTCTTGAACCATTTAGAGTAATTGCATGGTTTGGGGCTTCTCTGAAAGATAACACTCTGAAGTGTCTAACCCATAAGTCAGAATCACTGTAAGTGCTACTGGAATTGATTAATATATGTTTAAACACACATTTCCCCTTGAAAAAGTTTGCTAACAAATGCATTGAGACAAATACAGCAGTCCAATTTTATACCAATACCATGAGAAAGATTTTTCTGAAGCTTAGTTTTAGCGTATATTTTTCAAAAACAGCACTGCCCCTTTGTGACAAGGGGCTACTACTGCACCACGCCTATATTGACGCAGATATGGTTTTTTTGCTGGTAGATCATGAACTTCCTACTTAAAGCTTTTCAGAATTTTACTGGCAACAATTGGTTGCAATTGGCTCGGCCTTGTTATGGGATTGCGTGGTGTGTGGACAGAGAGGACCCAAATGCAGCACTCTGAGGGAAGGAGGTTTATTGAGGGAAAAAGGGAGAGAGGGACTGGAGTGGAGGGAGAGGAGGACGTCGGGGAAGCACAGGCACGGGGAACCAAGGAGACATGGGGCCAGGGAGCCGGGGGACACAGGGGCCGAGGAAGCGAGGAGAGGCAGGGGAACCGGGAGGACGCCGTGAGGGAAGTCTGAGGAGGAGTGGGCCAGTGGATGAGCCCAGCCGAACGGAGGACGAGGGTGAGTGTACCGGGTATGGAGCAACGACGATCAAGCGAGGATGGTGTGGAGAACCGGGGTTGAAATACAGGCAGTCATGAGGTGATTACTGGCAGGTGTGGCAGGCTGACGAGGTGGCTGGTGAGATGCAGGTGCAGGTAGTTGGCTAGGCTCAGGAGCAGAGGGAGAGAGAGAGCACACAGGGGAGAAAACACAGGGAGGCAGGCAGGGAACAGGAAACCAAGGAAAAAAGCAGAAAAACTGATAAAAAGGAGAAAAAACCAGGACACTCACCATCAGCCGGGCTGCCACCACAACAGGCCTACCCACGAAATAAAAGGGGCTGGCCCTTCCTTGCAGTGCGGGCTCTCGTTGGCTATTGTAGGCTGTGAAGGGGGCATGTGACCTCCTGTTGGGTCGAATTAGCTGTCAGTTAAAAGGTCAGAGTTCAGCAGCTAATTTGTCTTGGGCGGCACGGTGGTCCAGTGGATAGCACGTGGCCTCACAGCAAGAAGGTTGTGGGTTCATACCCTGTTTGCATGTTCTCCCCCGTGTCTGCGTCCAAAGACATGCGGCCTAGGTTGATTGGTGACCCTAAATTGTCGTTAGGTGTGAGTGTGACTGGTTGTTTGTCTATGTGTGGCCCTGTGATGGATTGGTGACCTGTCCAGGGTGTACCCCGCCTTTTGCCCAATGTCAGCTGGGATTGGCTCCAGCCCCCGTGACCCTGTTCGCAGGATAAGCGGTTGTCGATGGATGGATGGATGGATGGATGGATGGAAGTGTCAAGTCTTCAAATTTGCGATACAACACATCCCATATTGTCATTAAGCAGTCCTGATAATGCCTTTGCAACATTATCCACAATGGCCCCATAAAACCACAGATATTAAAGGCAGAATGACTGTGGTATAATGGTATAGAGAAATCATCTCAGTAAATATTATCATATCACCTAATCCTATTTAGATGCTTTGTAAGGTCTAATGTATTCAAATATGAAATAATACATTTACACCACATCTTGGCATAAATTGCAGTGGCATTTTATGGATGCTATAAGGGGGACTGGACTTGTGGTCAAAGAGGCAATAGCCCCTTTGTATGTAAGAAAATTGTCCTTCTTTCAGAACAAAATGGAAAGATTAACCCAACTACCATGAATCACCAATAGTGGCACACAGAGGACAGTATTGTAGCTGTTAAGTAATAATGACAATTAAGCTCGTGAAGACTTTTCGTCCCTTCATCCTTGATTTCATACCCCATTTTGTGAAGGTTTAACGATATGATTACCAGATGATTGATGCACAAACACTTCCTAATAATAAATCTCCTTATATGCATGTGTGTCCAGGCATGTGAGTGTATGTTCGAACATGTACATATGTAACAGGCAGAGCCTGACACAGACCTCTTGAACTGGAACTAGTAGCTGGAAGATGCAGAGGTCATCTGGTAATTAAATGGTTATGACCCCTTAAACACAAGGTGGGAGGATAGGATATGCAGTACATGATAGAAAAAGAAGAGAGAGAGAGAGGGACAACTATAAATGCTTATAGTTCAGTAGATAGAGCAGGTAAAGAGAGATTAAGAAAAGATACAGCGATTAGGGTGAGTCAAGCTCAGAGGAGGACAGGGTCCGTCACCTCTTTGGCCTGGCATATTGAAGACAGCAGCACTGTGTTACGTGTTCACTCCTCCAATTATACATTCAGTCATCACATAAGTGCACGCCCGCATGCATTCATACACCTCCTTCAATTCTTCCCCTCCCTTCCTTCCTTCCTTCCTGATGAAACATAAATGTAAATCAGCTTTGCTCTGGTGTTAAGAGGTATTAAAGATGACATTAAGGAAGAATACTCACTTCATCTTTGTTGTTACACAATATCTGGCCGAGTGGTGCATTGGTGTCAGACCCCATGTGTGAGGACAGAGATAAGTCATAGATATTGCACACTCCTGCATCGATAAATAAAACATGCACCCAGCTGGCTGGTGATTGGTCGGCTTGCAGCATTTCTGTGATGCTTATATCTGTTACAACAGCAGTGCTTACTAATACACTTACTGGGGTTTGGAGGAAACAGCGTGCAGCTCTTGCAGTGGATGATCTCCTTGACAACTGGTACATCCTGGGAGAGGGGCGGGGGCGCCAGGCCCAGGCTGGGCATCAAGGGATTTATGGGGGCAATGCCAGTCATCAGCCCGAGACTGGGGTCAAAATCTGAAGTCAGGAGAGAAACATGGATGAGAATACATAGCAAGTAACACAGCCGCTAGATGGGGAAGCAATGACACAGTGCACACACATTAGGGATTAGCTTCGGTTTCCTAAATGCTATTCAGTCACCGCTAACCTTTACTGTGGCATCATTTGAGCACATGTTGGCTGTTTCATGTTCCACTTTACATAGTGTACTTCCTCCATGAACACAGAGCAACACTTCTGTCAACAGTGGTGACACATAAGCAGTTTATAAATAACTGAATATGTCAGCCACTCATGAATAAATCATCTAATGAAAAACATGAATATTTAAACTATTTTTACTTAGTCTCTTGTCTTTTTTGCATTCTCTCTCACTCTCCTGGTTACTTTCTTTCTTTCTTGAAATCTCTCACTTTCTCTCGCACACACACTCGTAAACCACACACACATGCTCTGGCTTGATCTCCATCTCCCCCTCTCCTCCTCTTTACTCTTTGAATGATGACCTGTAAGATTACAAAGAAATTTCAGAAAACACAGACGCTTTATTCACAGGTACCGATTTAGACTGCACCAGGGCACACAGCAACACACACACACACACACACACACACTTGCAGCTTGTTTGAAATGGAAATGCATTGCCCTCTCCCCGTGAGTCTCCACTGCACCTGCAGCAGACAGCAGCAAAGAAAGGAGGCCATTGTGTGGATGTATGTGTATGCAATGTCGTGCACACCAAGTCTCCATCCCCATGTGTGACAAAAACTTGACTGAGACAAAACTGAAATGAAAGCACAACAAAACACTGATGCAATGTTCGCTCAAGAGGACTGACATGGAGTTTTATTTTTCTTTCTGGATGAGTCAACAGAGAAAAAGAAATCTGGTTTGATGAGGTATAATGCAGTAGAGTAATGGGAGGGATGAAAAGTTATCAGTGACACGATGCTGCTGAACTAAACACAATAACGATAAACAGCTGTGATATTGTGGTGGTTTGGTTCTCCTGTTGATGACCCCGACATCCATCTTTAGCCAGGTGGCAGAGGGAGAGGAGGCAGGTGATAATGAAAACACTGCTAGGTTGCCAGAACGATGAATGACTTCTTCTGGTGAGGTGGAGGAAAGGAAGATGGATAACACAGAGGGAGGGAAGTATGTGATGCAGGAGTGAAGCATAAAAAGAGTAACAGAGTCATAAAATCTGATCCAATTATTACTACAGCGCACCAGGATGTACTGTTTTCCATTAAAACCGTATCTCTGTATCTGTCTGGGGTGTTCACAGATGTCACTAATTGCATTCTTATCTGTATTTGTTGAGACAGAAAAACAATAGCTGGCTGCTGAATAGTAACATTGTTATGCAATGTATCCCTTTCACAGTATCCATGTTTTGTTTGATTTTGTATGGCAGCCGCCTCTCATCTTTTAGAATCAGTGTTTAATCAGCACAAGAATGTACCATTACCAAGTGGTTAGACTTTTCAAGAGTCAGCAACAGTAAAATAACTAAACATAACAAAAATAAAAGAGATATTTGATGTATAGCACTTTACAACAACAGACCATTGCTCTCCCTATGTTTACCATTAACCTTCTCTATTTTAATTTAAATTAGGTTGCATTATTTTGAGACAAGACTGGGATTCTAAAAGTTACAGCAGTGTTTGTGTGACAATTATGTAGAAAAAAGCAATCTTTCGACTGACTAAAGAATACTGTACACTGAATAACACATTTGAATTAGGAGATATCGTGACTGTCTGAGGCTACATTCACACTGCAGTTGAAATAGTTCAAAACTAATTTGATATGTTCTTACCACAACAGCCTTATAGATTTCTCTTGAATGGTCTATTTTTTCCGTCTGTCAGCAAATCTGGCTGAACATACCTACCATGACAAAAAGTCATTTGAATCATCCCTGTACTATTAATTGTTGGTCATTGCAGTTTGGCAGGGTTGGGAGTCAGCACTGAAGATAGCAATAGAAAGAAAAATTAAAGAAAAGCCTTAATTCAGTAAAAAGTTAAAGGTAATTTCCATCACGAGTGTTTAAACCAAGTGACAGAAGAGTGGGCAAGAAAATGGACGTGGATGCTATTGTTACTCTGTACACGCATGACTTTTCACCATCACTGACAGTTCACACTGGTGGGGGATATGGGTTACAACCTGAATGGATATGAACAGCCGTCTAAATCTGAGAAACGAGCAGAATTTATAAACTGAGTATAAATGAAGATCTGTTGTAGTGATGTACTTATTCACAAGTATGCCGTGTCTACGTATGTAATTTATTCATTCAAATAATTATCAGTGATCTATTTCCTCTGTCTGTCAAAATGTGATCCTGCTTGTGTCAGTGTGCCTGGTTTTCTGTTACTTTTTGAACTTTCTGTACAAAGGATTGAATAAGACTGTGTCTGATCCAGGAAAACATAGAGATCAGACAAAAGGTTGTCTCCAGGGTTACATCCCAGCCTCACCTGCTTCTAGCAGTCTGAACTCAGGTCAGCACACTGCCTTCAACAGACATGATCTGACTGCTCAGGGCTGAGTTACTCCGTCTGTATGTGCTTCTCTCTACACCTGCACATTTCTGTATTGTTGTATTGTTGTTGTTGTCTACTTTGTTTTTCTGTTTTGCTCCATTTGCTTTGCCATGGTAATCCTGTCCTACTCCAAACTGATATTCCCTTACATGTGCAGAAATGCAGAAAGAAATGTGTTGTTTTACAACTCAAATGTTAACTGAAGGCAAATTAAGTGAGTATTTAGAGTAAGAACTAATCTGATTGGGAGCTTTGTAGACTCACCTGAAATGAAGCCCTTGTGTGTTTGTGTTAATTATTTATTTATTTTAGCATATCTATTCAAAATTATGAATTTTTTTTTAGCCCTTAATCCATTAACAGAAATGTAAAAGTTCACTCATGTGTTAATGTGATAATTATAAACAAGACATGAGTATTATCAGTAAAATTGCACCCAAATTCAATTGGATTGGATTTCTTTGGTTGTTTTTCTTGTTTCTGAAGATAAAACCAAACACAGTGACTTCTTGTTGACACATTTCCAGCAGAGCTGATGTGGAGTTTAATAGAAAGACAAAAGATTCAGCAATATGAACCATCAAGCTAAATGTCCAAGAGTGAGGGCTTCTATCTTTTGCGGCAACAGTCAGCAATCACACAATTAAAATTCATAATAGAACAAAGAAATCTGCATTTCTCCCCGCAGAGTAGTCTCAGCTGAATGAAAGCCTTGAGATACTGCATTTGAGGCTTGACTCAAATTTTTTTCAGAAATAGAAAATGTTTTACTCTCTTAAGGAGCCTTTCTACCGTGCAATTTTGGACTGTTTCAATCCAAAGCTGACAAATGTGAAAGAAACATGGTGATGTTTTTGGTTGTCGATCAAAAAACGGTGCACTTAGATCAGACTGTGACAACTCCACCGATTTAGAGCTTTGGCGACCAAAGACGGGCTGCATCAAATTTCTGACAGTCTCAAGACCAAAATCCCACCATGTGACTGCTGCTGGGAATGATCAAAGCATTTTTGTAATGTGACAAAAAACACTTTTACATCATTCACCTGAAACAACAGTCCTATTTTTTTAATCCATCTACACGCAAACACTCCAACAGTGTGTGCCTACAAGGCCTGTAAGAGCATGTGCAGAGACGTGTGTGATGAGATTTTATTTACCGTCTCTACTTCCAGGGGATTTTCAGCAACTGTCATCACTATGGCAACAATGGCGCTTCAGTCCGGAAGCCATGTTTCATCACTAACGGTGCAATGACCCAGTGTTTGAGTGGTTTCAGTGCAAAAGGGGTCTGTAGTGAGAGACTCCTCTGAGACCCAGAGATCATGAAAGTGCCCTTAAACAAAAACATCAAGAGAAACCTTCTAGTTCTCCGACCGCCCACACAAGGCCGCCAGTGTCTCTGTCTATCTCTGATCTTTTTTTTCTCTTGCGCGATGTTTTACTCGGAGTTAAAAAATAAAATAAATTTCTCTGTGTGCTCCTTCATGACATGCCACTGCTCTTAAGCATTTACACATACAATACGCCCTCATCCTGGTGCTTTATTTCTAATGTAAAATCCGTCCCAGAGGTTTGTTAACTGTATTCCAGCCATTCTGTGTGTGAGAAGCACAGACATGAAATTCAATTTAAAAAATATAAATTTGACTACAACCTCCGGGCTATCGCTGTTATGCTCCCTTTTTCTCTGCCTTGACACAACACCTCCTCCCCTTTCTCCCTCCTCAAACTGTGATTTCCACAGTAATTGTTCACTCTCAGCAGAGTCAGCCATGGGTGGTGGTCAGGGGGACACGGTCAGCCGCTGTGAGGCATGCTGGGTAATATGGGTAATATTTTCTCATGAACAGACAGGCCCAAGTCTCCTGAAACTTGGCCTTTTACTCACCTTGCCAACTGTCCTCCCATATGCTTCTCCATATCCCTCCTAATGTCCACCAGATTGCTCTTTAAAAAATCCATCCATTTCTATTAACCATGAAGAAATTTTCTAGTCATTCATTTAATTTTCTCTATTGTGACAGACACAGATTTGTTCTGCATAGATTATATGTTAAACACTTTTATGAACCACAATTTCCAGCTTTTTGTTTTACACTACTCAATGTTGCCCCAACTTTACTGAATAGGACATTAACTTAGGTCAGTAAAATCTCTCACTGATCGCTGCATGTGTAACTAGTGTGTCCCAAGCAAACACAGCCGAGAGAACCGTGGGAGACTCTCCTCTGCCTGTGAGCCTTTTTGTTCATTCAAAAATACTAAACACTGACCTGCAAATGCTGTTCCTGTGTGTGAGGGCAGTGTGCATGTGTCTGCATTTGTGTGAGAAACAGGGAGAAAGAGAGAGAGAGTGAATTCGTCCATATATCTTTAGCAGCTGCCTTGTGGCCTCTAGCCAATAACACTTACAGTATAAAGAGTCCAAACCAGCCAATCAATGCCATTACT